ATTGCTGTTCTCAATTACTTCCCCACCCAACCTGTAGGTGTGCCTGGGATTGCCATGGCCCAGATGTAGGACCCTGCACTCCATTTTGTTAAACTTCATGGGGTTTGCATTGTTCCACCTCTCAAGCCTGTCAAGGTCCCTCTGGATGGCACATCCCTTCCCTCCAGATGTCAACTGCCCCACACAGCTTGGTGTTGTCAGTGAACTTGCTGAGGGTGCACTCAGTCCCACTGTCCACGTTGCCAACAAAGGTGTTGAACAGTATTGGCCCCAGCACTGGGGTGTTTCAAAGGATAAGATTTTATAGCAAAAAATGTAATGTCACTATATAAAATAATCAACAACTCCGCAACCTTAGCCTTTGACTGGCTCACTCTTCATTTCTCCCTTTTGACTCCTGTCTTTGGAGTCTGAAGGGGATTTGAATGATTACTCAACAATGTGACACGTTAAAATCTTGATCTCTGGAGTTTCCAGGCCAGTGTTTTTTTCAGGTGTAACCAGGGCAGATTTAATGTTTACCTCTTCAAATTGAAACTCAGCTGTGCCCTTAAATTAAAAGTCAGAATTGGCTGCAGAGACTGTGGCGTGTCTGTTTTGACAGTTACCACACATAGATACTACAGCAGCATAACATTAAAAAACCCAAACTGGTCACTTTGGTTGGTTGCTGTGAGGTGACTGGACTTTTTATGCTTTTTTAGCTCCTGTGAGAAATCTGCTTTTCAAGTGACATAACTTGTTTACAAGGCTGTAAGAGATGGCGTGATCTGTTTCAAGAAAGAATTAAACATTTCAGAACAACATTTTAAAAATGAAATCCTGTCAGTGTAGCTCGTGTAAAGAGAAGAATTAAGATAGTTAATCTATAAAAAGATCATTCATTTTAGGTATCTTCCCATCTGAAGAGAATACCTCTAACAATCACAGTTCTAGTTCATCCAGAGTTTTGGCTAACTCTTATTAGAGGGACATCTCTGTTAAGCAACTTACTTTTATGGGTCCCCAGAGTGCTTCTTCAAGGCAGATTCCTCTCTCCTTAAGTAAACATTAGGAAAAGCCTCTAAGGGGAAAACAGACTTGAAGACTTGTCCTGCTCTTAGTGAACTCAGTGGGAACATTGCCATAAATTTTCATGCTGGAACAAACTTCCATTTTGTTTGTGGTCACCCTCTGAAAGCTTTTATGGCGTCACATGGTCTATCTGCTATCTGTAGGCAGAGCAAAGGATGTCTATTATGGATAACAGGGAATATATAGGCCTGGATAGAGTTCCCAGTGTGCACTAGCCGTGGTTGGCACTAGCTTTTTCCCTTAAAGGAGTCTGATGCTTTTTCTGTGTCTCAACAAAGAAATGTCATCCACTTCAAACTCCATTGTGCTTTGACAATGGGGGGACTCTTCTTTTTTTCCTTTTGTAGGGGTCTAATTTAATACATGATCCTACTTTGAACATGATTTGTGGTTTTCTAGCCTAGGCTCAGCTGGTTTTTTGTTTTTCTTGCTTTTTCCCCTGTGATTTGGCTGCCTTCCAAAGCATCACTAAAGAAACCACAAAACTACATCTACAGAGACATGCACACACGCAGAGAAAGCATAAAAGAGCTGCGTTTTTCCAGTGTACCAATTGCAGAGTGGCAAACAAATTTATTGTAGTTAGGGGTGTTTTGGAGCTGCTGAGTCACTGCCTGAAGGGTAGATGAAGGCTAGTGAGATGTTGTGGATGTCTTCTAGTAAACTGAGCTCTAACATTTTTTGTCTTCTTCTTGGCTAATGTAATCCAGAGCCAGCAAGGCACACTGTCCTGAAGATGCCCATACTGTGAATGCAGAGACGAGGTGCCAACAGGGCAGCAACCCAATCATGTGGTAAGTCCTTGAGGCTCAAAAACCATGTGCTGGAGCCTTTACTGGCTCGGGGCCAGCTGCAATCTGGGTATGTTAGCCCAGCATCAGCACACTGCTGTGCTTGGGCCAGTGGAGCTAGCGTGGTATGTGGGCCACTGCTGCTCTTTGTTGTGTTGAACATTTCATCTGCCTGCCCATTTGGGCCTCTCTGATCCCTTTCTGTGTCGATACACCCACCTGAAGCAACACTCCAGAGGACTGTAACCACACAGAACGTCTCCACAAAAAGGTGTGTGTCATTTATTTCGTCCCCATGTATGGCCTTGGGGTGTTTGAACCAGTGACCAAAAACCTGCTAACATGAGGGAAAGTACAACAGTTGTAATGCTACAGTTTGGATACCAACCCTGAGGCAAGCTTTGCAATTTAAAACATGGATTTAAACAAAAGATTATTTTTTTCATCATGCTATGCAGCCCTGGGAAATAATGTCAGCTACAGTGCAAGCTGTGCCCTGTAGGCTCTATGCAGTCTAGACTGAACAATGATAGAGTTCATCCTATTGAATGAAAAGAATGTGACTGTCCCTTTAGTGACCACCAAAGGCACTACCAGAACATAAATAACAGGTGTTCTTAGAGGTTTTCAGGAGGTGTTTTCTTACCTGTCGTACGACATCATGTCCTGGTGATCCAGGGTATCTTTCTATCAGGATAGGGCGCAAATCATTCTGCCACATTTCTGAGACATCTGTGTTTGCCACAACTCTTTGAATAGCATCAGAGCCTAAAATTCTTGGTTGATGAGAATACTGTAGAAGGCAGAGAAAGGAAAGACTGCTGTAACTATTACTAGGTCTTTTTAACCATAGTTTTCTTCAGGATTACAGTAAATGTGATGTATTGTGCTACTTTGATTTACAATAAGAAGCAATTTAAAAAAGCTTTTCACTCAGAAATTTACAGACAAAAGTGTAACTATTAAAGATGAAAGTAATACTACTAAAAGATACTCTGTATCGTTTATTTCCATGAAAAATACGATAGTATTAAAAACATGGGAGAAAGTTTAACCTAGCAGCTAGCTGTAAAACCTCAACTCATGAATGGGCTCTCTGTTTCCTAACATCTTAATCCTACATACATACATAGTGTCTGCAACCCTGCCACCTTTGGCTGAGGTTTCTATTGAGACAAACACAGGACGCTTTGTTTTCAGTAGTAATCACATGTAGCTTTATGCTGTGTCTGTGTCATGAGGTGCAGCACTCACAGCAAAGCAGTGCACGAGGTAGCTCATTCCCAGCTACAGTGAAGCTGTGTCGTCGTGGCCTCTGCTCACAGTGGTGGTATGGGTGTGCTTACACAGCACTGTGCCGCTCATTAGGGGTATCTGGGTATGCATCAGCTGAGTTAACCTCAGAACTGGCAGCTCATGTCCTGTGACAACTGCTAGTTGTGTTAACTACCTCCCAAGTGGCTTCTTTTCTGTTGCCTAAGCGTACACCACTAGAGCTATTTCAGGTGATCCAGAGCGTCTGACATACCCTCATGGGGCTGGCAAATGCATGTCTTTGACGTGCAAGAGCCCTGTGCTGTTCTGTAGTGGTAGCCGAATGCCAGATGGGATCCCCAAGGACATCTCAAATGCCTCTTTGGACATCTGGTTTGAACCTATCCAATCTCTAGCAATAGTCTCCTCAGGAACCTCCAGAGCCACTCCTGCTTTTCACAGAATCAACTAGGTTGAAAAAGACCTCTCAGATCATCAAGCCCAACCTGTGACCTAGCACCACCATATCAACTAGGCCATGGCACTAAGTGCCACATCCAGTCTTTCCATAAACACCTCTGGGGATGGTGACTCCACCTCTGCCCTGGGCAGTCCACTCCAGTGTCTAACCACCCTTTCTGTGAAGAAATTCCTCCTAATGTCTAACCTAAACCTTTCCTGGCACAGCTTGGGACAATGTCCTCTCATCCTATCGCTACAACCTCCTTTCAGGTAGTTGTAGATAGTTAGATTATAGATTTTTGGGTGTTCTATAGATTTCTATTTCAAGCACTATCATAGGATGCTCCTATCATATCCAATCCTTATTTATATCATAGGGTGTTCCCTCTAGACCTGTCTTCCTCTCTTCCTGAAAAATCCCGGTCTGCCTTACATGATTGATCAGACCTGCTATCCTTCAGTGTATCCTACCTACCTCCTCCCTGTTGAGATGAGCAAAGAGAGGAGAAACTGGAACATGAGTGCTCTATAGCTTATACTGTAGGACAATGATATTTTCTATTTTATTACTTTTCTTTCTTCAATATGTTTAACAGCTGACATGCTCTTGGGCTGCTGCTGCATCAAACCAACATTTTAAGATGTCTATACTTAACTGCATCATTGTATATGTTAACAAAAAAAATCATTCCCCTCCTTTTCCACTCACTCTTGTGCCATTTCACACGTGCCTGAAATGACAGCTAAAACTCATTAACTGGCCAGAAAGTGTACTGACCTGGAGAGTCAGGTGTAATGAGCTATTGTCTTATTCCCCTAAATGATGACTTGTTAAAAAATGGGGTTTGCCTCACTATTTGACTTCTTTTCTACTCTGTGTGTGTACTGAGAAAAGCAGGTACAATATTTTCTAGATTTCACTGTAAACATTTAATTCTATCGTTCTCTCTTTTCCTAGCTGTTTATCTGTGTGGACCTTTCCTCTAATTCCACTTCAGTGTACTAGTGAAATTAAGTATACTGGAGGCACAAAGACACTAATTCTTATTATGCCAATTTCAATATAGTGTTTAAAGCTGAATTTTAAGACTATGAGATCATCAAATTTTAGGATGTGCAGTTAACATTTTTAATGCTAGCAAATTTGTTAAACATGGGTTAAAGAAAAATTGCATTTCATCTGATACAAAGAACTTCTTTCATTAAGAGTTTAGAAATTGTACTGTAGAAGTGGCATAAACTGCTTCTTGAAACACTAGAAGCTCAGTAAGGTGGAACTTAGACCAGTGTAAAAAAGGGAGAGACAAGAGGTCAGGGAGATGTTCTGTTCAGGAGGAGCAGGGCGTAAGGGAAGAGAGAAAAGCTAAAACTCTGCACTTCAGAAGAGTGTAGAAGGATGATTCAATTAAGGAAGTTCAGAAAATGTCTGTAGTTGAACAAGGAAAGGGTTCAGTTAGAATGGGGAATCGTCTTGCTTTCAGCTGTAGAGCATTGCCTGGCAATTGGGGTCACTGACTCACTTTGCAAAGAAACATTATTATTATTAAAGTACAAGTGTATGAAAACACTTCAGAAGAGAGGAATCAATTTCCATTTCTAATAATGGAGATATCTTCAAGTTTGGGAAGTGACAGGAATTACAAAAGTGGTTATGAAATAAAAGCGAAGCAGAATAAGATCTATGGGTGACTCATTCTTTACAGTGTTGGTCAATCCCTATTTTGCCACAACAGGGAGGCATAACAATGTATTTATGACAGGGTTGTCACTAAACCTGTTGTACAAAGCTGCATAAAACTGCAAGACTTCAAGTTCTACAAGCAGCCCACGCTCACCTGTAAGACAGCTTCTGGCTCACACATCCCTTTGTGGGGAAAGGACAAAAAGTGTGAAGGGACAAGAATTTGACAAGAAAGAGGAAGTGGTTCTTGCTTAGTGTGTGCACAGGCAGAGGAGGTCAGATGCAATGGTTCTGTGGTTAGATGATAGGAACAGCACTGGCAAGTAGATTGACTAGTAGGAATGCAGTGAGCTAAAGAGTATTGATGGGACTCAAGGGGGCTGAAAAAAACAAGCTACGTGCTTGTTCATTGACTAATATCTAAAGATAGACTCATATTCTTACATACTTATATATGTACATACACATGCATTATATAGATGTATTATGTTACAGATATGTACTCTCTAAATGAGCTATATTTAGATAGCAAGATACAAATAACAGCACAGAATGGAAAAGTATCTCATTAAAAAATCCACAACCTAAAACAACAAACAACCCAACACTTATTTGAATGGGCAGTGAATAAAACCAAGGAGAAAGGGGAATGACTAAGGGGAAATTAAGAGAAAGGTAGGGAGGAAGCTTCATTTTGCCACTTTGTCCTGGACTCTGATCTATGGGTGAAGAGAACAGTGCACTGAGTTAGTTGAGTTCAGTCGCTTCTGGCTGAACTTTGAGTTCAGCCCTTCTACAAACACCTGAGGTTGGGCCCTAGAAGTATATTTTCTGTTTGGCAATGTTTCATTGAAAGTGTTTTGCAGTTGTATGCTCTCCTGTTGCATGTGGTTTAGTTCTTCATGAAAAAGCTATGTTAGTGTTTCACAATGGGCCACTAAGAATTGTTACATAGAGAAACCTGTGGTTTAAGGCTTACTGGTTAATTAAATGTTATCTCAAGCCATTGGTTCACAGACCACTTTGAATCAGAAAAATATAGTAAGCATCTAGGACATGTTAAGAGTATTAATCCCTTTCAAAACAATTTTGTAGTGGCTATCAGCACCATCCTAAATCGTTTCTCCTAGATACATGTGTCTCCCTGCTGGAAGAACTACTTGTCTTGCCAAACTAGACTGCTGCCCATTGAATCACCACAATGACAGTGAAAATGGGAGCACAATAGAATGTTATACGGAGTATAATTTCAGATTTTCATCCCTTTTATCCTGTTCGGGTTTCCCCTTAAATTCACTAAGCGCCCCTGAGGAAACCTATCGCTCTCTCTGCCTGTCCCCGCAGAGCGAAACGCATCGCTCAGGCGACAAACGCGAGAGCAGGATTTGTTCCTGCAGCCACCAGCTGGAGGGAAGGGAAGAGACATGTTCCCCATCCTCACCTGCGGGAGGTGACCCCAGCCCAAATCCACACCCGCGCCCAGGCTGCATGCCCGCCCGGCCGCTCACCCCTCCCGGCACGGCTCTGCACCCTGCGAGAGGCAAGAGGCACTCACCTTCTCCAGAG